TACTCTTTGTAGATATTTGGCTGTATCCTCGTGGTTTCCTATTAGCCTGTGGCTGTGATGAAATGCTACATGCAGTGGACATGCATCGTAGGTGCATGTCCACTGTGAGAGACATTATCTAAAAAAAAATCCAGTAATCACAATATATACTCACAGAGGTCAGTATGCTGCATCTTGCTACGCAGAAGCAGGGAGGTAAACAACAACTATGGTGGACAATAATGCAAAGAGCAGTCTTTATTTTTGATATTCTTGAAAAGATTGCGTTGCTAACTAGCTAGCGCTGGGAGAAAATGAAAGATTGCTAGATGCATTCCAGCACTTCCATCCATTTTTACTTATGTAACAACAGAGCACTTCGCTACTTGTGATGTCATTGGGTCCTCTACTGTGCATGTGGCACACTTAAGTTGTATGAATGCAGTTCAGACAGGCAGTCCCATTCAGGTCGCATATATTTGGAAATGTGAAGGACTACGCAAAACAATCAGGTTTTACCCCAAAAAATCTGAATTGAGCCTCAAGGCCTGCAGCGTGAACGTAGCCATAGTGAACCAAAGGATCTTCTCATAATTTGCGCCCTGATTTTTATTTTCTTTTTTACATGTTGTTTTCAACTTATCAATAATGATCAATATATCAACATATATCAATAATGCAATAAAACAGTGAATGCCAGCGCTGTATGATGACAGCATACAGGAGAAAGCTTTGAAAGGTTGTTCAATTTGTCAAGAACATATTTTTGTTTAACTGCTTTTTTGTTTTTCAAATTCCTTTATTGTGATGTAATTTCGTTTAGGTTCTTCTTCCCTCTGAATTAAATCAGGTTTTTAATCATTGTCATTGTTTCCTAACAGCTGATTCGCTGTTGGACGGAGTGGTTTCTCAGATTCAGATCAAACCTGAAGCAGCAGGTTTGCCTTTAAAGTGTGTTACCATGGTGACTAGCCTTGCTTAGAATGAATCCAGCTTTGTGTTACTGGAAGGTCAGGGTTCAAGTCGTAGGGAAGCGGCTGTTCCAGGGGTTGCAT